CGTCGTTTTTTGTTATTTTTTGTTATTTTCTTTGAACATATCTACGTGACTTCACCGAAAGACCCAAAGAATAATCATGAGCTGGTGACGTCCTCCAAATGGACACCCCTCCATTATGATTGCCTATTATAATGAGGCAAGAATGTCTGTGTGCAACGCTCGTGACGTCACTCCACGTCGACCAGCCCCCCCTCATTAATAATCATGAACAGGTTCCGTCCTCCACATTAACCACCCCCCCCCCCATTCATAATAATCAGCGGCTGACGTCACTCCACATGGGGGGCCGAGGCGCCCCCCCCCCCCTCCTCGGCGTCAACTCACACCCCTCACTACAAAGGCAGAACCCTCACGTCACGTGATCCCCGTAACGCTGTTGAGACATCAAACTAAAAAGGACGTCATGATGAACAAGGGATTATAACCTTCAAATGAAATAGGTCTGTGTCACCGCGCCCTTACAAATTGCACACGCATTCATGCAATGCCATATATCACGTCGCGGGTCTGCATTGCGCTTGCAAGTTTCAGATTTACTGCAATACACCCCATCCTTGGACGGGCAAAAGGCTAGCAAAACAATATTAGCAAGCCTCTTACACTAACGAGATGCATCGATCCCAGCTGAGCACGGAAGCATTTAAACAATGACCACACATACACAGATCCCCCTGATAACCAAACAAATGATGGGTCAAGTGATGTTAGCGAGCACCTGTGAATGCACACGAGGTAATAATCTGCCCATTGCTGATGTATTTACACACTTCAACGGGTGTTCATTTAAGGCTGAGTCGACCTAGGGGAGGCCCAGGACCGGTTCATATATTTGTCACAGATGAAAAAATAAGAATAGTTTTTAACCCTTTTCTGGCAATGAAACAGGTGTTCAGCTGTTCAAACATCAAATAGATACCCATTGCAAGAAATCAAGTCTGCATGAACCACACATTCGTGTGGCAAAAACCATGCAAACAAGCATACTCTGATAAAATACACCTTGTCTTTGAAACTGATTGGCCTACACCAAAAACAGCCTTCTTTATAGCCTTGTCTCACCAGTGTTTGTCATCATACTGGCAAAAATGTCCCCGAGATAGAATGGAACTCGGGTCGTGCAGTGAATAGAATATCGGTTTGAATGCCACGGGACAAACCTGACTCTCGTATGCAGAACGAGTGGTAAGTGCTGACTCCTCCTCTACCAGTGTGTGGCCCAGAGATGACCTCAAGGGATTTTTGGAGGTTGCACTGAGATCCGCTTGAGTAGATAGCACAATATGGATAAAGTGGTATTCAAAATTATAATACATATATATTTTAAAATATATATCCTACTTGGGATTGCGGAAACCCCATCAAGAGTATTGGTCTCGGCCCCCCTCCTTCTTATCCCCCCCTCTCCACCCTCACGGCACTTAAACATCTCTATTGAGGCGCGTGAATTACTTCAACTGGCAGCTGCTGCCCACCCCTCGAGACAACGCGGTGTTGGTAAGCCGTGTGTTTCACGTTGTGTATCGGCGTGTTTGTTGTGTTAGTAAGCCATGTGTTTCACGTTGTGTATCGGTGTGTTGTTGTGTTAGTAAGCCGTGTGTTTCACGTTGTGTATCGGCGTGTTTGTTGTGTTAGTAAGCCATGTGTTTCACGTTGTGTATCGGTGTGTTGTTGTGTTGGTAAGCCGTGTGTTTCACGTTTGTGTATCGGTGTGTTGTTGTGTTAGTAAGGCATGTGTCTCACCATGTGTATCGGTGTGTTGTTGTGTTAGTAAGCCATGTGTTTCACGTTGTGTATCGGCGTGTTTGTTGTGTTAGTAAGCCATGTGTTTCACGTTGTGTATCGGTGTGTTGTTGTGTTAGTAAGGCATGTGTCTCACGTTGTGTATCGGTGTGTTGGTGTTATTTAGCCGTGTGTTGCACGTTGTGTATCGATGTATTTGTGTTAGTAAGCCATGCGATGAACATTGTTTATCGGTGTGTTTTGTGTTAGTAAGGCGGATGTTGCACGTTGGATATCAGTGTGTTGTATCGCCGCAAAGTGGCGCTGACGATCTCCCCCCTCCACCCCGAACACACATTCGACATTTCTCCTGCACAGTATCCACGCCGTGGCCTGCTCCCCCACACAGGTGGAGAGCGGCTGGCTAACGCGCCCTCCTCACAGTGGCTTTCTGTCCCTTGACCCCCTTTATTTTTCAACGACCCAGCGCGCACGTGGGAACCCAAACCGCCCTGCGCCCTTGCGAGTCCGTTCTCTCCACACCGCGACACCATTCATCAGCTGCTGCCAAGGCGGTAAGCCCACATTTAATCAAGGGAAGGTCGCGTTCAGGACGATCACTGCAACCTCGACCACCCGCCGCCCTGCCACGCTCTCAACCCCACGACTCTAACAAAGCTGAACATCAAAAGGACGCATTGGGAAGACAATGTCCCCCCCCCCCCCCCCCATCATGCCTACCCCAACCCATCAATGCCAAACTCATTGCCCGCTCGCCCATTGGGGGGCTCTATGTGGAGAATATCCCTGCATACCCCACCACCCCTGTGGATTCGTACACTCCTAGTGAGGCGAAAGGTAGAGAGCTGTATTGAGATGAGAGATAGAGATGACTGAGAGATTTAGACAAGAGACAAAGTTGGAGTGAGATGAGAGAAGAGAGATACAGACGAGATAAAGATAAAATAGATTATGGCTAGCTTTTCAAATAACCTTCTGGAAGACGGTTCTCCAGAGCCATTACATTATCAGCCAGAGGACAAAAGAGCAACACTCTATATCCCACACAGAAGGGACAGATGATATTAGCCCACACTTTGCTGGACTAAATTCTATTGGCAAGCCAGGCAGATTCCACCTCCTCCATGCTCACCCGAAGGGATTGTCACTACATTTGTAATTGTTCCAACCCTCCATGCCTCCACCAGTGCTGGATTACAAGCCACGTGCATCGCCACCACCGCCTGGCGCGGTTATAAAACAGACTCTTATTTAAAAATTACCCCAAAGTTTGGCAAACATTATTAGGTGACGCTGCTGCTGTAATTGAACGTACGCGTCTTAAACTTCTTTCGCACCGTACGTAGCCAACCCCGCTCATTTGGAGGTGCGGGGGAAGGACAACAAAACTAAACACAAAAAGTAGTTCTAAATACATATTTTAAATCTAGATGATTTAAAGGTGCATAGCTCCAGTGGCTTCCTAATACCAGAAGCAAGAGCGTTCCAGACGGCCGCAGAAGCAGCATCTGAAAGCGAGCGATGCCATCTTTGTTCGATGGTTGGCCAAAATCCGCGCTGCGTTGGTAATAGGGCACAAGCACAATTAACAGCAACAACAAACCCTCATGTTTGACAAACTTTTGGGTGCATATTACTTTCCGTCGCATCTTATAACGTGGTTGTATTTACACAAACGGTTGTGATCGTATTTACGGTACACATGGTGCCCCAGATGTCTTGTGACCCCCAAATAATTGACGCCTACCATGTGTATTTTTTTGCCATTGTATATTAATTGCCGTTTTAAATAAACCTGCCTTTCAAATAAAATAAAACATATTAAAGTTTTAGATCATTTAATGGGTGGTGGGGGGGGTTACAATACATATGGACCACCCCCGTGTATCAATAACACCGCGAAGGCTGGAGTTTCATTGCCGTGTGGGGAGTTGGAGTGAGGGTTGGGGCCGACGGGGGGAAGCATTGATAAGAGGGGCGCAGATGGAAATTTACTCCTCGGCCTGGCTGGCTCCACTGATGACAGAGCGGTTGACGTTGTTGTTGTTGTTGTTTGTGCTTGCGACTGTTTCTGAGCAACTGACACACAACACGCACACAGCACGCACGCGCGCTCGGGATGAGTTTCGGATTTGAACATTTCGGATCTTTAACAACAACAACCCCTCCTTAATGCGTGATAACCGCTGCTCCTAGGAGATGATGATGATAGCAAGATTGACAAACTTGGACATCGCGTTTATGTTATTTTATTTTGGGTTCTGCACGGTCACATTGTCTCCCCCTCCCCCCCTCTCGCCCTTTCTCCCATTTTCTTCCTCGCCCCTTAAATTCACTGCTCCCGAACGTCACCCTCTACCGCGGCAGGGCAGCGAGCCCATATGCCCTCGTTCGTTCCCCACTGCTGAGGGCGAGCATTACTCCTGGCCTGTTGTTGTTGTTTCTCCCTCCTTTTGATATTCCCCACTGTATCCTGAATTCTTGAAAGACACAAAAATAATTACTACAACAAAAAATGCTGATCTCTTGGGGGGATTTTTTATTTATTACATTCATCATGATCGTCATGATCTCGCACAGATCCGGAATAACGCTGGCTAAGACCAGTGTGGAACAATGCTGAGGTCCAGACCAAAACATCACACCTCCCGACTGTGACATTCCGCCTCAAATACACCGGGCTGTTTAACCATCGACCGCATCAAAACATCAACAGTCCGATGCATCCATCATCCTCCTCCGTAAATTGAACGTTGAAAATAAGGCACCGCACGAGTGCGGCCATGCAACCAAAGGTATGGAGCAAATAGTAAACCCGCTGTGGCCTGCGCTCGTTCAAAGGAAGAGAACGATCAAAACCACACGAACGAACTCTCCTGAAGCCCTCTCGTCGTGGCCAGCAGACCTCGACAATGGCATTTAGCTCCTGAACTGATTACCATACGCAAGAGTAGAATGGAATTATCGTCATCATCATACCTTTGGTGGATCCAGAAGCTCATCACATCTCCCGGGTCAATATAAAATGTAAGAAACTCAGCAGCGGTAGTTGTATGGATTGTCTCGTCCCTGCCGTGGGAAGGTTGAATTTCCATCACTTGGCTCAGGGCTGTAATCAGGAATTGAACTCAGCGTCGGTGCTTTTTTGTGTGTAGGATCACTTAGACTTTGATTCGTGCACAACGGATGCTGGGCTTGTTTAGCATATGGCGAGAGGGGAGGGGTCCGCATAGCAGCACCGTATAAAAGGCAGGAGCCGATACAGACACGCGGGCAGATTCACTCAAGACTTGTAGTCGGATAGCGGGTCACACACACACAGATAAATACACACAATATATACACACACAGACAGAGAGACACGCAGGGACACAGAGAAAGACACAATAGTACACACTCGCATACACAGACACATTCATATCCCTAAACACATATGTACTAACATTCATTGGCAAAGAGGCACGTGCCTAATCACACAAAGTCACGCAGACACAATATATGCAAATACAAAATACACCGGCACACATACAAGTACGTACTTACATACAGACATAACAAACAGACGCACCACACGCAGACACATGCATACACACAGACACATATAGAGCTGCACACATGCAGAGACAAATACAAGTGCACACACATCCATGAAGGCACAGCAGCAAAACGCGCAAAGGTACAGTGGCACAATATCGAAAACTTCACTTTCACATTTAAAGCTTTCTCGTTCACTCGTCCGTTCTAGGTCTCCGCTTGAGCAGGAGCTAGACGAGACTTACTAGGACGAGACGAGACTTACACGGGGACCTTGCACTCACGGTTAACATCCACTCTGGTTCAACACACATTCTCCGCGTCTCTTCAGTGCATATCAGCAGTCACCTCTACCAGGCGCTAAGTGGTAAGTAAGACTTCCTTTACTCGTACGCATGGACACAGCTGCCCGTGCGTCGTAGGGGTTTTAGCCCACCCCCACCCCCGTTTACACACTTATACATTAATATGAATACTTGCTATGATATTTAGCTCAAATAAATGCCTCAATGCCGTGTTTGTTTATCACGTAGGCTTTCGCGACCAATGTCCATAAGAGTTTTTTTGTGGGGGGGGGGGGGTTTAGATCACGTAAATATAAATGTTTCGTTAAACCCGCCACGTAAACAAAATTACCGGCAAAACGTCGTACTCGCATTGTAAATGTTGTGGGTTTACTCTCCAACACACCCGTGTGCTGTACTAGTAACGAATTGGCACGTTTTGCTTACGTGACAAATCTTACTAATTGACTGTGTCGGGTGGTGGCGGGTTTAACGAAACATTTACGCGATCTAACCCACAAAAAGCCTCTTTGCTTGTTTGTTTGGCATTCTGAGAAGGTCCTCGCACGGTTCACATATGACCTGCCACCGACGTTAGCCGTGACCTGGATTCGGGTTCACCGTGCAGTGCGCCAACCACTGCGCCACGGCTCCAGCCACGACCATTGCTGTAGCGATCGTGTTAAGGTTGTGGCAACGGGAGGTGGCGGCGTCGGGTTTGTCCCCTTGAGACGCGCGGAGGGTTCTTCGCGCCCTCTGGGTTCCAACTCGCGTGAAGCCAAAACGCAAAACGGATTGGAGAAAATAAAACCCATCCCAAATGTAGCAGGACCCTCGTGAGAAACATTATCTCGAGCCACGGTGAGGCTTTGTTGAGTAAGTAAATTGATGAGATTTTAAAGTAGAAAAAATCTATATTTTAAAAAAATTGTATCTGTAGAAATGTGGTTTGTCTCTTAATTGCGATTCTTAAATATGTTATCGATAGTTCTAATGAGAGGTTAACATACCTGTCAACCCACACGGTTTACCCGTGTTTTTATACAAGGAAACTGAGTTTTTCAGCTCAATACGGCTTACAGCCTTTTAAATACGAAGACAAATCAAATTTTTGTCTATTTGTTTGTGTTTTTTCCTTGTGATGGAACTTTGTTGGATGAACATTGAGATTTATAAGGGCACGGAGTGACCAATAATGATTTTTATTATAATTGGTCTGTAATAAGGTATGCACTAATAAGGGGTTGACAGGTTCGGGTTAATAACATTCAGTCCGTGCTCTCCAGTTGCCTGGGTGAAAAATGGGGCTAGGATTTGCCCAATCCTGGCCAGCTGGCTCAACAAACTTAATACATGAAAAGCAATAAAGGGCATTTTAGTCTGTATGTATATATGTTCAACTTCTTTCGCACGGTACGTAGCCAACGATGCTAATCGGAGGCTGGGGCCGGAGCTGATGATTACTGTGTCCATCAGATAGGTGGGACCGTAACGAAGCAGTTTGAGACGGATGCTGGGAATTTCCTGGAAAGACGGGATAAAAAAAATACAGAATTCCGGAAGAAAGCACGGCCGGTGAGCGTTATGTTGTAGTGACAATTCGGCAAAAAAAATGCTGAGCTGCGTGAGACACGTGCGTCCAGATTACCGAGACAGTAATTGGCGTGGTCTCCATTAGTCCAGCACCCAAAGGGGAAGACCTTGGAGGTGGCGTGTCTCCTGGGGCACTGCGGTGGCGAGATGTTAACTACATCGCCTGGTATACAGGAGGTCGTGGGTTGTATATTTGGAGTTTGCGTGTTCTCCCTGTGGTCGCATGGAAATTTCTCCAGTCCCCCCGGGTTTTCCCTCCACATTTAGAATCAACATCAGTGATGCGTTTAAGAGTATTTGGCTGATATACATGTCCACGTGATAAACCACTGACCACTTAATTGGGCTATCACGTGTGGCCAGGTTGCTTCTGAAAAAGAGCTGTATAGCTCAGTGGGCCTCACCTGCTAAAATAAAAAAAAATGTTCATAGTTTTAGTTTACTTCACAGCAGCTGTGGCATCTAGCACAGGGTAAAAAGCAGGGCACAATTTCAGCAGGAGTTGTCCTGGGCTGAGCTCTAAAATATATTTTTTTATATTTCCCTCCCCTACCCCCTTCCACCCCTAGCCTTCCCGAACCCCTGCGGCAGGGTCTAAGGGGTTGGGAGGCCCCGGAAAATATTATATGAGAATATAAGCCACGGTAAAAAAAGCACGTGTCCTTTGCGTCGACTTACACCTGCCATAGGAACGAGGAATTCCCACCAGCGGCTCAGGTCTGTTAGCAGGACAGGAGCACCGTCTCGAGTATCGTTTGAGCAGGAAAAAATGTTGGCTCTTTAATCTTTCAGCAAAAGCGTTGGCGAGGAGGTGTGGTGGCATTAACGACTCGGCCCATAATAACGTCTCGATATTTTATACTGTTGTTACTGTCACTGGGCCTGCGACACTTCCCTTTCAGAATGAAGAGGACCTCTGCTGTGGACGGCGTGCGGGGGTTGGCGGATCGCGGCGCGATGGGCTTGCCTCACCGCGAGCTCGCGGTGAACGTGGGCGGTTCTCGACACGTGCTGCGCTCCGAGCTGCTCGCGCGGCTCCCCGACTCGCTGCTCGCCACCCTCCTCGTGCGCCCGGGCGCAGCGAGGCGGCCGGGCGCGGCGAAGGCGGCCGAGGCGGCGGCGGCGACGGCGCGGACGGACGCGGGGACGACGGGAGACGAGACGGCGACGTCGCGTGGCGCGGGGCGAGGCGCGTTCGAGAGGAACGCGTCGGCGAGGAGGGACGCGGGAGACGGGGACGTGGGGGAGCGGACGGAGGGGGAGACGCTCTCGGGGACGGGGACGACGGCGAGCGCGGCGGGGTCGGACGCGGGGACGCAGAGGCGCGCGTGCAGGAGGCCCCGCGTGAAGACGCGGAGGTCGTCGCGCAGGGGAGGGGCACGGGGAGGGAAGGCACAAGGAGGCGAGCAACAAGGAGAAGACATTCGGCCGAGTGGTACCCAGGGAGGAGACCCACGGCCGCGTGACGCACGCCCTGTAGATACGCAGGGAGGAGAGGTCCCGACCGAGGCAGCCAAACGCCACGTCCGCAACCCCTCCTGCTCATCAACCTCCTCGTGCGGGCGCGCCTCGTCTCCACCCTACGACGACTTCGACCCCGACAGCGGCGAGTTCTTCTTCGACCGCGACCCGCGCGCCTTCGACCGCATCCTCGACGCGTACCACTTCGGCGAGGTGCACATGGACCGCTCGGCGTGCCCCATGTGCTTCAAGCAGGAGATGGACTTCTGGGGGGTGGGCGCCGACTGCCTGGACGACTGCTGCCGCTTCCGCTACTCCGAGCTGCAGGAGGAGCTCGACGAGATCGTGCAGATGGTGGAGACGGAGCTCAGGGACTCCGGGACGGCGGGCGCCGCGCAGCGCGGCCGCTGCGAGCGGGCGAGGGTCGGCGTTTGGCAGCTCATGGAAAAGCCCGACTCGTCGAGGCTGGCCCGTTCGCTGGCGCTCACCTCGTTCGCGTTCATCGTCGTGTCCTCCGTCGTCATGTGCCTGGGGACCATCCCCGAGCTGCAGCCGGGCCCGGGGGCCGACGGCGCGGCGGGCGAGGAGCACCCGACCATCGCCGCCATCGAGACGGTGTGCATCGGCTGGTTCACCGTCGAGTTCGCCCTGCGGTTCTTCTCCGCGCCGGACCGCGTCAAGTTCATGTCGTCACCCATGAACGTGGTGGACCTGCTGGCCGTGCTGCCCTACTTCGTGGTGCTGGCCCTCACCGAGATGGGCGGCTCCGTGATGGGGCTGGCGAGCATGCAGCAGGGCGTGCAGGCGCTGCGCATCATGCGGGTGGCACGCGTCTTCAAGCTGGCGCGGCACTCCAGCGGCCTGCAGACGCTCACGTACGCCCTCAAGAGCAGCTTCAAGGAGCTGGGGCTGCTGCTGCTCTACCTGGGCGTGGGCGTCTACCTGTTCTCGGCGCTGGGCTACACGGTGGAGCAGAGCCACCCGGAGACGCTCTTCAGCAGCATCCCGCACTCATTCTGGTGGGCCATCATCACCATGACCACGGTGGGCTACGGCGACATCTACCCCAAGACGGAGCTGGGCAAAATCAACGCGGCCGTGAGCTTCCTCTGCGGCATCCTGGCGATCGCCCTGCCCATCCACCCGATCATCAACAACTTCGTGAAGTTCTACAACAAGCAGCGGGTGCTGGAGATGGCCGCCAAGCATCAGCTGGAGCTGCTCAGCGTCTCCGAGCGGCTCGCGGGCGAGATGATCGCAGCAGCGGCGGTGGGAGGAGGAGGAGGAGACGCGGAGGAAGAGGACGTGGGAGGAGGAGGAGAGATGAGACTCGGTCCCGACGAGCGGTGTTGTTGTAACGGGCACCAGCACGAGTCGCGGGTTTCTGGACGCTCCCAGCTCGATCACGGCCATCTCGTCCACTCGAACATCGTGGCCGCCAAGCCCTAAATACAGCACACAGTGCACACACAGTGCACACACAGTACACAGTACACACACAATACACACAGTGCACAATACACACAGTACACACACAATACACACAGTACACAGTGCACACACACCATACACACAATACACACAGTGCACACACAGTACACACAGTACACACAATACACACAGTACACACAATACACACAGTACACACACAGTGCACACAGTACACAGTGCACACACAATACACACAGTACACAATACACACAGTGCACACAGTACACACAATACACACAGTACACACACAATACACACAGTACACAGTGCACACACACCATACACACAATACACACAGTGCACACAGTACACACAATACACACAGTACACACACAATACACACAGTGCACAGTGCACACACAATACACACAGTACATAGTGCACACACACCATACACACAATACACACAGTACACAATACACAGTGTACACAGTACACACAATACACACAGTACACAGTGCACACAGTACACACAGTACACACAATACACACGGTACACACACAATACACACAGTACACAGAGCACACACACCATACACACAATACACACAGTGCACACACAATACACACAGTGCACACACAGAGTACACACACACACAATACACACAGTACACACAATGCACCGAGTATACACACAGTACACACACAATACGCACAGTACACACAATACGCAGAGTACACCGAGTGGACACAGTACACACACTACACACATAACGTTGTCCCGCATGAGTGAATTCAAACCGCATCATTGAGCGAATTTTGTTTCGAAATAGGTTAGCCGCATATACAGGGCTAAATCGCGCAAACCCGAACCCGCATTAAGCGAGGGAAACCCGTAATGAATCGCCCGTGGCCACTTTATTTGAACGTCTTCAGAGATTTGTTTTACACGTGTTCTGCTGACGGTGATAAACTTATGGGCAAACTGTGATTTTTGTTGTTGTCCAGGAACCAGCTACTCAACAAGTGACACACGGCTCTCCCCCAAACTCTGCACGTATGGGTCGAGTGTGAAAACACAATACTATCACTACGATAGCTTCCTTGTGGGAGATACCTCTCCCACCCACCACCTCCCTGTATGTCGACCTAACTAACCTACCCTTTCACACCCTCCTTGTCTGTCTGCCTCCCTATAACGCATAATGGGGCCTGTGTTCGCTATTGCTACAGTATTTGCGTCTGTCCCACCCCCCAATATTTCATATGGAGTGCTCTTACTCTTTGGTTTTATTCGGTAAAGTCACGTAGATAAAATAAAACAAAATAAAACAATTAAATCACGACGTTGCGGAGGCAACACAAGCTTCCGTCTTCAGGTGGAAAAGTCAACGCAGAATATCTGTGACTTTACCGAATAAAACCAAAGAGTATGAATCCTTGCAGTCACGAAAGCTTCAAATCTAGAATGGAGTGCTCTTGCCAGTGACAGCTGTGCATCTCGCAGCGTCTATTCAACGAGCCCGTTCCTATCTCCAGAGTTCGCTTGCTTGAAACCAAACGCTGGTGAATGATATTGGCCTGGAATGCCGATGGGCTCATGGACTCAAAATTCGTCCGTGTATCTGTGGAGTCACACGATGGGGATGTGCTCGTCTTGCCTTCTAGTTTAAGTCATGTCCACGCTTGATCCATTGCCGGCATTCGTTGTGGCACGATGCTTGAAATAAACTTCACAATGAATGATGACCGCCACGAACAAAAATGCCTCTTGCTCACTCCTCTCGGCTGCGATGTTACTCTTGTTCCCCCCCTTGGTGCCAGTAAGCCATGAGCCAATGACACGGGCGATCCTACTATTCACTGCAAACTACCACAAACTACCGCAAAGTTTTACAACCATAAATCCCCCCCCCCCCTCGCTCACCCTTCCCTAGCCCCCCCCCCTACACCCATGCCCCCCCCCCACCCCGCCCCCCGCACCAACCCACGTCCCAAGCGCAAATATCAATTCATTCTCAGAGAAGCAAATGAGCAGTAACAATGCCCGTTTGAATGATGCTTCTTGAAGACCTTGATTCAAGTGCCGCTCCGCTGCGGTTTACTTGGCAAGTAAATCAAACCCGAGTGACAATTCATTCATTAGGCCACGGCACTGAATATGCCGCCGTATCTGCCGAAGGCCCCGAGACATTTAAGTGGCTGAATAACGGTGTTTGCGGATGCTCGTAGTGGCTGTACTCGATGCTATATTTCAGCTGGAAACAATCCAGGACACTTCCGGGAATTATTTCAGCACGCCGAATTCAACTCTTCTTATGTTGTGATGTATATAAAACCTGTTCACGAGATTATAGTAACATATGGTACAATAAGCTAGGATTATTATACATTGCACAGGTGAGCAGTACTCCAAGCCAGAATGACAGCGTTTCGGAAAATATCGAGTGTGAAATTAATTAAGCCCTGGCTGTATCAGAGCATTGAGATGGCACCGCTGAGACTCTGGTTTTTAAACCTGCAGATTTCAGCCACTCGTGATTATAATCCACGCTAATACCTAATCGTAGCAAAACTTGAATCGTACTAATCTATTTACATGGCTAATACGAATAAACATTGTTTGATAATCCACTCATTCCGCGTGTTTTTTGCATAATTCGCAGTTTTTAGCCACGAAAACAATTTCCACCGCTAAAAGTCACGGCACGGCACTTCAGGGGAGTACGAACAAGCGAAGTCTCTGGTGTGGGCTTACGAACACTTAAACCGGGTTCTCAAGTCTAGCGAGCTAATATTTCATAATCTGAATCGAAAACGAATTTCTTTAGAACAGCGTTTAATGTGTGTAGTTTTCCCCGCACCTCCCATTAGCATGGTTGGCTACGTACGGTGCAAAAGAAGTTCAACATTCATCCATCCCGTCTCCACCTGTCTTGGGTCTACCCTACGTTGACATGATCTGAAATTAACACATTCCAGCGGAGGGAGCTGGTAGGAACGTTGGGTTGCTCGGTCAATGGCCAGGCTCAACGGCGGCACCACGTGGTGTATTCCGCAAATATGCCTGACTGTGAGGGCGGGCACAAGCCGGCGTGAGTAGGTTAAACGTTGAGTTTTATAAGGGCACCACGGGGTGACCAGCCCCTCCCCACCCAGCCCCTCCCCACCCTCCTCTCTCCACCCTCCCCTCCCCACCCAGCCCCTCCCTCCCCTCCCCACCCAGCCCCTCCCCTCTCCACCCAGCCCCACCCCTCCCACACAATAATCCCCTGTGGGCTGGTGTAACCAGGAGGTTCCTACCAGTAAAACCTTCTACAGTATCAACACTCATCAGCAGGGCATAGTGCTTGCTATACAACTCCTGGCTGTTGTTACATTATTAACACGTGCTTGCTGTCATGGGATTCATAAACACTGTTCCATAGCTGGTACCAACAATCTATATACGTGCCACAATGGAACGGGAGCAGTGACTCTACTCCAAAGAAGCCGAGGGGGTGGACATGAGGCAGTGGTAGACCGACTGTGTGGAGGAGCTGTAGCCGAGGAGTTGGGACGTGAGGATCTTGTATTGTAAAGATGTCTATTGTAGTATCGCCGTATCGTGGCAAATCTAGCAGCCACCCACACGAGCTGTTTTGTTTTTGGATTGCGTCCTTATTTGAAGTCTCTCCTTTGAAGCGAGGTCACTCACTGGGCATGTGTCGCCACTAATGTACTCCGCAGTCACGCAGGTCATTAATCAATAAACGCCAGCCTTCCTTTTGATGGCGTTCCCAGGAACTTGCCTGGGATTTCTTTATTAGTCATGAGTCAATCCGAGACGTGGATTTGGAGTGGCACCCAACTAAGACAATGAAAATAGGCCAGATGATGGTGATCATGAAGGAAATTATACATTGTAATAATGGCTTTCACTTAGTCTCAATACACTTGTATTGTTACTTAGAACAGTCCCGCATTGGGATATTTGGCTGAATCCATTGATGAGCGTTTGGCTTCACGTGGGAGGAAGAGATGTGGTGCCTGGAGAAAACCCGCCATGCATACGAGGAGGGGTGACACTCGGAAGGCACTGCATAGACTTAATGATTTGTTGTAAATTCCATCTTCTGACCACCCACCTTGCTGCCTAAACCTACTACAACACTTGGTAAATTCCATGGAAGCTGATATCCAGGGCTTAATAACAGTAAAGATTTTGATTTAATACTTTCGTGACTGCAGGGATTCATATTCTTGGTTCTTTCGGTAAAGTCACCACGTAGAAGGGAAACAACAAAATAATAAAAATATAAAACAATAAAATTCTCACGACATTTCGACTGCAACACAAGCAATCATCATCAGGTGTGAAAACCACAGCAAAAAAATTGAAAAAAAAGTGGCGGGTTTTTTTTCTTCAAATTTTCTTGCTGTGGTTTTCACACCTGATGATGATTGCTTGTGTTGCAGTCGAAACGTCGTGATAATTTTGTTGTTTTATATTTTTATTGTTTCCCTTCTACGTGGTGACTTTACCGAAAGAACCAAGAATATAACGGTAAATATGTCAACTTGCAATATGCTGCCGCACAGTATCCACTCCCTCTCGTACTGAGAGGAAAACAACTCTGGAGCCCAACAGCCAGCTTCCCCACCAAGCCATTCGGTCCTCTAAATATCAAGGAGTTATCGGCAAATGTAGTGTGTGAAAAGTTGGCGTTGGTGGTGGTGGTGGTGATGAAGTTGCAGCTTGTTGTAAAGCAATATTTTGCTCTACTTTACAGGGAATACATTCCGATACAAATGGTGAATCTCCACCCCCCCACCCCCTCCGCCTTGGTAAAACGCCCCAGTGGGTTGCTGGTGGATCCTATAGGGTTGCACAGTTCTCCGTTGTCACACTGGATTTTTGTTTAAGCGCACGTCACGCGGAGACTTAACAGTGCCAGGGACACACGTCCAATTACATTAGCGGGTAATGTAATGTACGACGTTGCTGGGATTAATTCATCAGAAGCCGTAATATATTAACTTTGGCAAGAGATACGTCCATCCACGCAATTGAATGGTTCGTACACTCTCGCCAGCCCGACCCCATTAGAATTAGCCCTCATGACACCCGAGGTATGATTTATTGAGCGATTCTGTG